GGAGAGCTTCCCTCCCTGCAGCCAGGAGAGCATCCCTCCCAGCCTGCTGCATCCCTGCAGTCTGGGAATTCTGCTCTGCCTGGCTCCCAGCCTGGCCAACGCCGTGTGTGTGGCACTTCTCATCGGCAGGCACGGGGAAGGACGGTGACCCCCCCGTTCCTCACTCACCTTCACGCTCTTGGGGTCGAAGGCTGGTTCTCTGGATGGCTCCGGGGCTGAACCTGCTTTGGCTGCTTCCTTTTTTGGGTCAGGTTTCTTGAGCGGCATCGTGCCGGGTCTTGGCAAAGGCTGAGGGCTGAGTCCTGCTCCCAGGGAAGCAACTGAGCAGAGGGATGAAAGGCAAAGGCTGCTCCTTGCTTATATCTGGAGCCCTGTGCTCACCCTGCAGGGGCAGGCCAGCTGCTGGAGCAACTGCTACTGCTATAAAAGGAAGAAAACTCAAACGAGAGGGGCCCCAACTTGACAATTGCCCATTGTCATCAGTTCCCGACGTGGAAGTCACCAGCTGCCCCCCCCTTCCATCCCCAGACACAAAAGGGGGGGACACCTCCCCCTCCAGCACCTGCACCGGGTGGGCTGCATGGGGGCTGCTTGCTAAGTGATCACTGGAAACCTAAACGCAAACGGCCCCGGGTGCCTGGCAAGAAAATAGCAACGTGATGGCTGATAAACCTGCTGCCATACCCACGGGAAAAGCACGTCTGTTTTTAGGCAGGCCTGCGAGGGCAGATGCTGCAGAGCCCTTCTTAAGACTGGGATTTGTGAAGTGCTGCTTCAAAGGAGCTCAGTCCCCTCCGAAGGATCCCCTCGGCGTCGTGCTCGGCGTCTGCTTTGCCTCAGTCTCTCCCCAAAGCTGAGCTTCTGCCCTGGCAAAGGCCACGCTGCAGCCTCACCTCTGCCAGGATGGCTAACAAGGGTGATGGCTGGAGCTGAGCACTTCACTCACCAGCTCAGGACCCTTCACCAGCTCAGGGTCCTTCACAGCCCTGCACCACTCACCCCACGCGTCCCCAAAACCTGCAGAGCAGGGCGGGCAATAGGCTCCTGTCAGCTACCCTGGGAGATGCTCTGGCTTTCCTCCTTGTTTCCCAACTGTTTGAATACCTGCAGAAGAGGCAGAAAAAGTCATCAAGGTTCAGTATCCCAGAAAACAGGGCTCAGGGGTTACACCAAGACATCCTAAACCATCAGCTTAAATATAGCCAGGTCACAGAGCACAGGAGGAGGAGAACCCAGCCCTAGTTTGCTCTGGGGTACAAGAGCTGCAGGTTTGGTAACAGGAATAAATGGACAAAAAGTTATTTACAGCAGTTGAGAGCATCTTCTCTGCTGTGGGGATCCTGCACAGCCTCATTTCTCCAGCCAGCAGTTCATTATGTTGGGCTGTAGGGACAGTGGCAAGCTGCTGGATCCTGCAGGAACAGAATCCTGTGAGCTGCTGTTAGTCCTGGTGTGAGAGCCATGAGTTGTGGTGCTGGCTCATTATATTTGTGTATATATATATAATTATATATATGTATATATATTATTAAAGTTTTGGTAATACATAGATACAGAAAATAGTTATATTTGTATTTTCAGGTGTTTGGGTCAGGCTGGTTCAGGTCAGGCTGAGTCACAGGGGCTTGGTGTGACCGGGTGGGTCTCATCCTGCTGGTGCAGAGCTGCTGCAGGGTTAGGGGTGATGGGAACAGGAGGTGTCACCAGCTCGACCCTGTCCTCGGAGCCCCCCCAGCCCGTTCTGTGCCAAAAGGCTGCTCCAGGAGGCAGAGCCATCGCCAGCCGGGTTACCGGGGACTTTCAGGAGGAGGGAGCAGCCACAAACTGCTGGAAAATTGGCTGTCTGCCGTCACCTCACGATTGCCTGTGTTGATTTGGGAGCTGAGTGGGCTGGATGATGGGGCTGGGTGGGTGTCATTTGCTGTGATTGCTTTCCAGATCACTCCATAATACAGCAAGTAATCTAGTTAAAAAAAAAAAGCAACCTGTTTTGCTAACTGCAAACTCGGAGCCTGGGTCAGGTTTCTCCTGCGGCAGGAATCAGATTGCCCGGGATCGGTGCTGCCTCCCCCTCAGCCAGCATCCAGCTGTACACCCATCCTTCCCACCCCAAAATAACCTCCTCTTGGCTCCGGCCTCGCTCCCCGACAGCTTCTAGGGCAGAAATCAGCACCCAGAGGAGCCTCTGGAAAACAGTGAAACTGCAGTTTGGCTGCTCAGCCCTCCTCTTGCCCCTGGGGTGGTGTCAGCCCCCTGCGATGGGCTGGGGTGGTGGCTAAATTGGGCTGGGGAGACTGGCAGCTGCCAAAGATACCCCGATCCCTCCTTCATTGACAGCTGGTTGCCACGGCAGGGAAAGCAACCCCGGGGCTTGGGTTTTGTGCCCGGTTTATTTGGGAGCAGCAGCACCTCCCCAGCACCGTCACAGGATTTGCTTTGCTCCCTCGGGCTCTTCCCTCACCACGGGAGCCCAGCACAAGCCTGACCCTCTCCTGAGCAGCCACGGGGGCTCGTGGAGGGGACCTGGGCGAGCTGCCCTGCCAGGAGAACCCCAAAGGAGGCTCTGGGGGCTCTGCTCTCTGCAGGATTTTATCACTTCTGGAGGCAGCAGTAGCTGTGTCCAGCCATGGGTTCCATGGGGGTGGCCCTGTCTGGGAGCCTGGTGTCCCCAGGGCTGGTCCTGGGCTTTTGGATTTCAGCCTCGTCCCACTAATGCCGAGCTGCTCGGGGGACAAGGACTCCCCATTTGTGGCCCCGTTTCCACAGGGGGATGCTTGGGCTGCTGGGGGGACACAGGGTGTTCCAGCAGGCAGGGTGGCAGCAGCAAACCGGGCAGCTGCAGGATCCCAAAATTCAGGGGGCAGCCCTGGGGCCTCCGTGAGGGGTGCAGGTGACCCTTTGATGGAGACAGTGTCAGGTGCAGTGGGACAAGCTCCGAGCTGATGCCCAAGGACCTCCTGGCCATGCTGGTTCAGCTCATCTCACCCACGGGCTACGAGAGATGCCCATCAGGGTGGGACCTCTCTGCTGCCAGCACTGTCTGTCCATCTGTCCTGCCCTGGCTGTGGTGATTTTGCCATCACCCCCCTGCACAGAGGGCCATGCAGTTGTGCAGGGAGGCACTTTGGGAGCACAGAGACACCAAGGCAGCCGGGTGCTTGTCCCAGCAGAGAGTGGGACTGATCCCAGCACGTGTCCCCAAAACACGCCCCAGCCCCGAGAGAAGGAAAAGGGTTAAACTGGAGTCTGCCTGAAATCCATCCCACCTCGGGAGCATCCTGCCGAGGTGCTGCCCACGTGCCTGCACCCTCTGCCTCCCGGGTTTTCCCACCCTCCTCCCGCTCCCTGGGACCAGTCTGGGGCT